CCCCAAAACCCCAAAACCCCAAAACCCCATCAGCTAAATCAAAAACAGTTACTGTGGTTAAAAGTAATGAAATTAAGTTTAATTAAGTTTATATTTCAAAATGACACACTAGTATCATTATTTAATCGGTTTTCAACTTTGAAGTCTAATTACTAGCATAATGGTACTATTGATTCATCCATTTATTCGAGTAAAATCTCCTTAAGTTTCACGATCCTTCTTCCTTTCTTAATTATTGATGGTTACTCATTCTAGACTTTTGCTTTTAATTACACTTTTTGCTTCACTTAGCTTTTATTTGGAGGAGAAATTACTTGCTGGGATTATTTAAATTTAACTTAGGAATTGAGATTCGCTCTTGACTAAATAGCTGAAGACTATACTTGTAAATTCCTCCTTGACCCTTACCTTTTTTTTTTATTTATCACAATAGTTGGATCAATTTTTATTATCTTTTAATTGTTTAGCTAGATTTGAGATTCATTAGTTATCACCTTTTATATATCCATATTAAGTTTAGACTATTCGCTACTAAATTTTTTCAAAGTAGGTTGGGAAATTATTTAGGAAGAAGCCTTATCTTTATTTAGTAATAAATCAAAGTATCCAGATGGTTTATCATCAAATCTGCCAGTTTACATCTTTTAATCAGGAGATAAAAATGCCCCTCTATTACTTCGATAAGTTTAAAATGTAGTCTCAACTTGAGATTCCTTTGGACTAATTATCAAATTTTCATAAACCTTTGGTGACACTGGTTGAGTTTTATTTGCTGTTTGAGGTCTCTTCCTTGAAGGGACGAGGTTTTAATTTTTGTACCTAATTAAATTAATCTCCTTTTTATTTTTCTTAGCCATGTCTTTGATATTTTTGAGATTACTCTTTAAATCCTAAATGTTCAGTTACTAAGCTTACATTTACTAGTATATTGCTTGATGCATTATTAACCGCTTAATTTCAGTAAGATTTTGAATCACAGTTTTCTAAGGCTACTAATGAGTTTGAGTTATGTTAGTAAAACTAGTTTGCTTCTACTGAGGGGACAAGGCTTAGTTTTAAGGCAAAACTTAAGATATTTTTTTAGAGGATTTATTTTCAACAGCATTTGGTTACTGCTATTACTAAGGCAAAACTTACTCTTACTATTTTGACTAGTCTTCCTGAAAGTTAACTTTTTTTACGGTTCCATTGCTAGTGGTAGCACTACTTCTCTTATTTTCTTAGATATTTTCAAACTTAATTAATCCACTTTCTCTTTTCTTGACTAATTTTATACCTTAGTCCTTCATTATCTCATTGTAAGTAACCTAGGCTAAGTATCCTGTCACTGCTTGTCTAATTCTTCTTTTGCCACTTTTTCTATGCTTCTTTTTATGCTTTTCTTTTTCAACTTGCTATTTCTATTCATGTCTATACTCAATGAAATTTTGAAGTCTCTCATACTTTTTAGTCTTAACAGCAAATTTGAAAAATTCTTTCCAGTACTTAGTATTCTCATCAGTTTCATAATTTTTAGGCGTAAATGACTATTAGATGAATGAATTCTCATAAAATTAGAAACCAAAATCAGGCACTGATGGCTTCTTAACATCAGATAAGCCATCAACAATATCTTGATACATAACAGAAGGAGATAAATTCTATGGTATAAATTGAGCCCTAGATTTTAATAAATGGTGGGATCGCATCTTTCTTTTTTACCAAGTATTCCTTCTATCAAATTGATTGATTGTTTACTCTTAATACTGGACACTCAATTAGACTGTCTGATCAGTTTTTACAACTTCTTCTCTATTACTTTACTATTTTCTCATTGAATATTGCTAAATTTTTTCCTCATACATTTTTCTTTTGCTTACAGTCCTTCTCAAATCAGTAATCAAATTTCCTAGCTACTTAATATTCTAAGTATCTTGCTTGCTTAGACTCTAGGTTCAACTTAAACTCTTACTTTTGAGCTTATCTTAAATAGGCGCCAAAAAGTTTTAATTGAATTCAGTTTCAGATAGGATGGCATTCATGAAATTATTGTAGTTGCTAGGATTAATAATGTTCTTTGTAGTTTGTTGTTCTTATTTCATGATTCCTGGCTTTTCAAGAGCTTCTATTTTTATCTGTCCCATGATTCCAATAGTCTCTGCTCGATTATTAAAAGCTTTCTTCATTGAATCTTCGAGTCTGAGATTGATTGGAGATGATTCATCCTTTTTATGGGAACTTTTTCATTTTGGTTCATACCTTCCAAGATTTTTAAATTTAGTAGACATTTTCTAGAATAGTATATTTGGCTGTCCATCTTATCCATATCTCTTTCTTTCTCCATCTTTTGATTCTCATCTAGATACACTATATGATCTTTTAGAATTGAAATCCTCGGAAGAAGATGAATCACTGTTATTACTACTACTATTGCTACTCTAAGAGGAATCTGAGCTATCTCTTTTTGAAGACTTACTATATTTATCAGAGAATGGAGATAATGTCTTTCTAAAATATGATGCCATTATATCTACAGTCTTTGAACCTTTTAGTTTTCTTTTCGATTTTCAATTTTTAGGTTTCTGAAAAGCTCTTTGGAACCATTCATTAACTGGCTAGTTTATTGATGGTCGTGAATTTTGTTTGCTATTATCGTTACTTTTATTTAATTATTGAAGCTTAGTTATACCTCTAGCAAACCCTTGAGCGAATAAATTTGAGTTTGATTATCTAGTTTTAGGTAATAATAATTCCATTTTACAGTATAAAAATATTTCATATTTCGAGATAAACTGCTATAACTAGAGTGATGGGGTTTTGGGGTTTTGGGGTTTTGGGGAGATCGGAA